CCTGTTAGATGACCAAAATCCAGAACACTGACAATACCAAATGCTGGTGAGCATGTGGAACAACAGGAACTCTCATTCACTGCTGATGAGAACGCAAAATGATACAGCCACTTTGGAAGAAAATTTGGCAGTTTCTTATAAAACTAAACACGCTCTTATTATCAAATCCAGCAATAATGCTCTTTGGTATTTCCCCAAACAAGTAGAAAACTTTTCCCACACAAAAATCTGCACAGCAACCAAGATATCCCTCATTAGGTGAATGGATAAATGAACTGTGGTACCTCTAGACAATGGAATATTATTAAATGTTTAAAAAAATGACCTATCAAGCCATGAAAAGATGTGGAGGAAACTTAAGTGCATATTACTAAATGAAAGAAGCCAATAAATATATGACTCTAAATATACGACATCTGGAGAAGGTAAAATTAAAGAGAAAGTAAAAAGATTAGTCATCACCAGAGTTTAGGAGGCAGGGAAACAGAGAGTACACAGAGGATTTTTAGGGCAGTGAAAAGAAAGAGAGATGGTTCCTGACATACAATGGTTCAACTTACAATTTTTCAACTTAAACAGGTTTATCAGAACATAACCCCATCATAAGTTGAGGAGCACATATATACACATAATGGTGGATATATGTCATTACACATTCATCCAGACCCACAGAATGTTCAATAAGAGTGAATCTTATTGTAAAACTATGGGATCTCGGAGATAATGACGTATCAATGTAGGTTCATCAACTGTAACAAATGTACAGCTGTGGGGGATGATGATACTGAGGGAGTACATACATGTGAGAGGGCAGGCAATATGTATACCTCTATACTTTCCTCTCAATTTTGCTGTGAACCTAAAACTGTCTTTTTAAAAAAGTATTTTAAAAATTAGAGAAAAAAGAAAATTTAATATTTGCCTGTCTCAGGCTGGGCGTGGTGGTTCACATCTTTAATTCCAACATTCTGGGAGGCTGAGGCAAGACGACTGCTTGAGCCTAGGAATTTGAGATCAGCCTGGGCAACATAGCTAGACTCTATGTCTCTACAAAAAAAAAAAAAAAATCAGCCGAGTGTGGTGGCACACACCTGCGGTCCCAGCTACTCTGGAGGCTGAGGCCAGAGGACTGGTTGAGCCACAAGATCGAGGCTGCAGTGAGCTGTGTTTGGGCCACTGCACTCCAGCCTGGGTGACAGAGTGAGACCTTGTCTCATAAATAAATAAATAAATAAATAAATAAATAAATAAATAAATAATCTGTCTGTCTCACTTCAGGATTCTAGACGTGTACCAAATTCTATTAAGACTAGAATGGAAATCTAACTTTTTTAGAAGTACTGATGGTTCCTGAGGAACCATCATTTCACTGTAGAAATGACTAATGATCAGATTTGAAATCAAAGGACAGAAGTTTTTTTTCTCTTACAGTGGCACTGCAAATCTATACTTTTTTGAGACAGGGTCTGGTTCTGTCGCCCAGGCTAGAGTGCAATGGCACCTTCTTGGCTCACTGCAACCTCCGCCTACTGGGCTCAAGCGATTCTTATACCTCAGCCTCCAGAGTAGCTGAGATGAGAGGCGCACGCCACCACGCTTGGCTAAATTTTGAATTTTTTAGTAGAGATGGGGTTTTACCATGTCGCCCAGGTTGGTCTCAAATTCCCGACCTCAGGTGATCCACCCACCCTGGCCTCCCAAAGTGGTGGGTTTACAGGCATGAGCCACCGCGCCTGGCCTAAACTATACTTATTAAAAAGAAAATACAACAACAACACAACAACAACAACAACAACAAAACTGGTGTGTTGAGATACAGCACAAGAGATCATGAAAACTGAGGAAAAAAACAAAAAAAAATTTTTAATAAAAAAAGAAAATGGAGAAGTGAAGACAGGTAGGATATCATTATAAAACAATCATTTAAAGTGGAAGAAAAAGGAATCTAACAGATTAGAATGGCAATGACCATCTTTGCACAGTTTCAAAGCAAATAAACTGAAAAACAGAGGATGAAGATAATACAGCTGCAAACGGAGAGGGGGAAGAGACACACACAAATGTTTATACAGAGATGTATCTCTGAACAATACTGTGAATAAAAGGATAGGCTTAATAAGTTTTATGGCTCTACTTATTAGGAACACTTTAGAGAATAATAATAATAATAGGTATAGAAGTACTACCTAATAGGCTAATAAATAATTTAGTTTATAAGTAGATAAACATTAAAATACATTTGTAAAAACCAAGTAGAATTCAAGAGTCTTGGCCAGGTGTGGTGGCTCATGCCTGTAATCCCAACACTTTGGAAAGCCAAAATGGGAGGATTGTCTAAAGTCTGGAGTTAGCCGCCTGGCCAACATGGTGAAACCCCCTCTCTACTAAAACTACAAAAAATTAGCTGGGCGTGGTGGCACCCACCTGTAGTCCCAGCTACTTGGGAGTCTGAGGCAGGAGAATTGCTTGAACCTGGGAGGCAGAGGTTGCAGTGAACTGATATTGTGCCACTGCGTTCCAGCCTGGGCAATAGAGCAAGACTCCAACTAAAAAAAAAAAAAAAAAAAAATTCAAGAGTCTAGCTTGATTCGTTGGAGAATTGCAGGTTACATCCATAATATTTCAGAAAGCTTTGAAAAGAGAGTAATCTGATACAGCAGCATGGGGGAAGGTCACTCAGAAGAAAATACAGGGTGAAATGCTAAGGCCTTCACACGTTAGGGTCAAAGAGAAAGGAACATACTATTAATGAGAGTTTTGCCTGAACTGAGAAAATCTAGGGTTGTTAAGTACAGAAAAGACTGTGAGAAAGAAAATTGAGAACTGAGGGAATGTGAGAGCAGGCAGTATATGAATTTTGAGAAGAGGAATTGATTAAAAGGAACAGAATTAAGGGTCGGGCTAATTCATCATAAAATATCTTTTTATCTTGTTACAAAAAAAAAAAAAAAAATCCCGGCCAGGCGCAGTGGCTCATGTCTGTAATCCCAGCACTTTGGGAGACTGAGGTGGGCAGCTCATGAGGTCAAGAGATCGAGACCACCCTGGCCAACATGGTGAAACCCCGTCTCTACTAAAAATACAAAAATTAGCTGGGTGTGGAGGCATGTGCCTGCAGTCTGAGCTACTCGGGAGGCTGAGGCAGGAGAATCGCTTGAACCCCAGAGGCAGAGGTTGCAGTGAGCTGAGATCGCGCCACTGCACTCCAGCCTGGTGACAGAGCAAGACTCTGACTCAAAAAAAAAAAACAAAAAACAAAAACCCGTATCCCAGCTATCAAAAATTGAACATCAATTTAAAAATTAACTAATCCTATAAAGGGTTAGCCTCTAGTTAAATACCTTTTCCTTACACTCAGCCTTTTCATTGGGATCATTCAGTAAGAAGTCATTATGCCAACATGACAGCAAGAGCAGCTCAGCCCCATAAAAATGTTATCAGAATGGTCCAGATTACAAAGCACCCTCAACAAAATGAAGTTGTGAGGAATAAGTATGCAGAAGGCATAAGTTAGGAAGCCAAGAGAAGAGAGTCAAGGACTGCCTCACTGAAATAGGGACCAGAAGATTAAAAATCAATTTATTTTTGGAAAGTGAAGGGTTCTTAAGAATGAGATGTCATGTGTTTATAAGCAGATAGGAAAAATATTTTAGTTAATAACGTAAAAAATAAAATACAAGAAAAGGAGAGAGCTAGCATCCAAGGGTCTCTAACTCATTCATAAAAGGTACTAAACTGATCTTCAAGCTTTATAAAATAGAATCCTCAGTAAACCACAGTCAAATTAAGCAGGAGAACCTCCTGAAGGGGCAGCAAAGCAGTATCCTGCCTCACCTGGAAGCATCTCCTTGGGGCCAAGTAGGAGAAAGGTGAAGTGGCACTATCCACACCAAGCTGGTGCTGACATACCCTTCATGGGCTTGGCTGAGAGTAACACAGGTATCCTGGGATCTGCGCAACCCAGGAAGACGTAGGTCTGGCTGCACCTATGTGTAGCCTCTACACCACTGAGTTGAGAACAACAACTCAAGAGAAATGGGGAGAAAACAGAAAAGGTCAGAAAAAGAGAGAGCCATCCTTTTACCTATTCTTTCTTCTCCAATTATTTATTTTTCTAGTATTGACAATGGGTGCTAATCTATCCACTGTTTTCCTGATTTACCATGTTGTGGAGAAGCTAAGTTTGAGCTAAAAATGACTATATAACCAGAACTATAATTTTACTAGCATCATTCTCTAATCAAATGAGTCAACTGGTAGAGAAACTTGGATATGCCTGGGGCAAAGGAAAATGATCATCTCTATTTAATTTTGTTTCAGATCAAACATTTAAATATAAGTAATACCAGACAGTATGTCATTAAGCTGAGAATACAAAGGTGAACACAAACTAGCAGTGTATTCAGGGTTTTATACCACTGGATCCATGTCAGAAAAAAAATTATTCATTTTTGTAATAAAAACAAATGGGGCCCAAGTAGTAAAATGGACTTCAAAAATGACAACAGGGCCAGAAACAGTTACTCTCTGAAACTGAAGTTAATATGAATCAACACATAATCAACAGTATTATTTTTAATCCATCCTGCAGTGTGATTTGAAGGCAGCTTCCTTACTGTGATTAAAACACATTTAACATCCAAAGACATGAGTAGAGACAACTCAGAGGTATTTGTTATTGGTAGTTTAAAAAAGAAAGGCAAATAGCAGACTTACGACAATACTTCCCAAAGCAGTAAAAATTCTGCTAATTCACACTCTCTCATCCTTACTCCATGAAAAGGAACTCCCAAAGTCCAAATATTCTAAGTAATTACATATTTCTACTACTACTAACTAGTTAAAAAATTTCCAAGAGAAAAATGTTCAGCATATTTATACCCGGCTGACACCAGTACATTCAATTAGTAATTAAAGAATGTAATTAAGGTTCAGGAAGATACAAATAAATTATAAATTATCATACAAATCATAAATTGTATATTCTACAAAGGGCTTACCTTGCAGCTTTTTCAAAACAGCAACCTCCATTTTCAGAACTTGTTTTGGTTGTTGAGCTGATTCCACCTTCAGTGCAACATTCTCCCTGGTGAGCATGTCCAAGGCATCGTAAATTTCTCCAAAGCCCCCACCCCCAATCTTTCTCAACTGCACAGAAAATAAGAACACACACACTCAAAATTACTAGAAGATTCTAACTTGAAAGTAATTGATCTGTTATATTTAGAAAATGTATAATTTTATAATCTGTTTTATAAAATATTTCAATATTGTTAAATTAACTATGTATATGCCAAGAAAACATATGCCTGAAAATAACATCAAAACCTTTCCCCACAGGTTTATCCACAAAAAAGTAATGAAATTATTTCACCCACAAACAATTTTAAAATTTGGTTGACAGCCAGCATCAGAAATGTCACCAACAATACAGTATTTGAAAGAATCTCTTCCTACAAATGCCACTCAACAACCAGATTTGTTGTTTTAATTTTAAGGAAGACTTTTTAAACTATGAAATCCTGGCTGAGTGCAGTGGCTCACTCCTGTAATCCTAGCACTTTGGGAGGCTGAGGCGGGAGGCTCACTTGAGGTCAGGAGTTCGAGACCAGCCTGGCCAACATGGTGAAATCCCATCTCTACTAAAAAATACAAAAATTAGCCAGGCATGGTGGCACATGCCTGTAATCCCAGCTACTCAGGAGACTGAGGCAGGAGAATTGCTTGAACCCAGGAGGCAGAGGCAGTAGTAAGCCAAGATCCTGCCACTGCATTCCAACCTGGGTGACAGAGAGAGACTCCATCTCAAAAACGAAAAAAACAAAAAACACTACAAAATCACCCAGCCCTCTCACCACCACTTACTCTTCTCTCAGGGGTACCTAACAGGGTCCACAGAGCAGGCAGAGAACTCCAGTACCAAACTATCCCAGAATTCACTATACATCTATTTATTCATATACAAGTAAAAAAAAAAACAACAATTTAAGCAAGTTCAACAAACACTATTCTCTCTGATAAAATATGTGAGCTTAACTGGGGAATATGAGGATGCTGGTCTGAGTATCATAAGCAAGTTTTGAAGAGTCAGTGGCAACTGCACCTGTAGGCTCTGAAAGCTGGGTTGTGGGGGTAGATACTTCAAGCTAGATACAGCAATTATTTTCCATTTCCTGAAACTAGGTTGTCTCCTTATCACATTATCCAACATCCAGGATGTGATATAATGTAGGAAGTCATCATAGGCACAGGGTCCTAAATCCTATCCAGCTCAAGACGCCCCAGTTCCATGTTCGATCTCTTTCTCCACTTGATCATCACTGATGACTACATCTAGGTTAATTTATCTTCTGAATTTCTACAGTAATTATTTGTTTAATCATTCAATTAATCACTTTACCGGGCCACACCTCAGGTACCGGGCCAGGGCTCAGATATCACTTCTATTATTACCTTGTATTTTTCAAATTAAAGACCTGTCCATGAAATACCTTGTTTTTAAACTGTCATGTTGATTAACTTTCCATTGTCAATATCCTATCCTGTTACAGAGAAACTAAGCTTCTTCGAAGAGATGGCCATTTGTTCTATTCTATTTCCTTGTGTCCCCCATAGCATTTGGCAAAGTGTTAACTGATAAATATAATCCTATACTTATTACTTTGCGCATGTGAGCCATAATCCTTCTTTATTTTTATTTATTTATTTATTTTTAATGTTTTCAGTTGGTAGTCTCACACTGTCTCCAGGGCTGGAGTGCAGAGACATGATCTTGGCTCACTGCAACCTCGGCCTCCCGGTTTCAAGCAATTCTCCTGCCTCAGCCTCCTCAGTAGCTGGGATTACAGGTGTGTGCCACCAAGCCTGGCTAATTTATGTATTTTTAGTAGAGATGGGGTCTTACCATGTTGGCCAGGCTGGTCTCAAACTCCTGATCTCAGGTGATCTGCCCACCTCTGCCTCCCAAAGTGCTGGGATTCCAGGCGTGAGCCACGGCACCCGGCTGATCCTGCTTTATTGTCATTTGGTGATGGGAAAGGAATACTACATGAAACTACAGGATAAGTTCAAGATTTTTAAAAAGTTCCAGAAGTGGCCAGGTGTGGTGGCTCACACCTGTAACCCCAGCACTTTGGGAGGCCGAGGCGGGCGGATCACGAGGTCAGGAGTTTGAGACCAGCCTGACCAACATGGAGAAACCCTATCTCTACTAAAAATACAAAAATTAGTCAGGCATGGTGGCACATGCCTATAATCCCAGCTACTCAGGAGGCTGAGGCAGGAGAATCGCTTGAACTTGGGAGGCGGAGGTTGCAGTGAGCAGAGATCGCACCATTGCACTCCAGCCTGAGCGACAGTGTGAGACTCTGTCTCAAAAAAAAAAAAAAAAAGTCGCAGAAGCATTCAGTTAAATAAATTGTTCCTTCATGGGCCTTGACTGATATACTTATGATTCTTTATATTTTGCCCATTAAATAAAACCTAGTGTAGCTTTAAAAACTCATACACAGTACCAAACAGATTCCTTTCTAACTAAGGACTGGTAGAGGCAGCTTCATGTTTTACCTCACAAAAAAACCTTATTAAATGACAGAATAAAACAACTAGGCTGAAGTAAATGTTCTTGCTTCTTTGTCTATTTCTATCCCTATAATGCCATTTAAACATTAATAGAACATTTTTTAATTGGCCTGACAAAGCCCTAAGAAATTATCAAGGTTTATGAGGCAAAGAGAGAGGCAGTTTAGTATGATTGGGGTACACAGATTACAGGAAGAATAGAGAGGTAAGGTCTGTGGGAGATTGTATTTTCCAACAATAGGCACAATAATATCATCCATCCCTGCTCTTCTTCAATGTGAAGAAAACCTTTCACACGGATGAAGGCAATGTGACCTTGCTACTCTGCCATCAAGAGGTAGAGTCCATTTTCCCTTTAACCGCTTTCATCAACAGAATAGGGCAAAGTGACACTGTGCCAGCTCTAAGGACAGCCCTTAACCAGCCTGCTAGCTTCCATTGCCTGTCTCTTGAAAGCTAGCCACCATGTAAGAAATGGGACCATCTGGCCGGGCGCAATGGCTCACATCTGTAATCCCAGCACTTTGGGAGGTCGAGGCGGGTGGATCACCTGAGGTTGGGAGTTTGAGACTAGCCTGGCCAACATGGTGAAACCCCGTCTCTACTAAAAATACAAAAATTAGCCGGTGTGATGGTGCACGCTTGTAATCTCAGCTACTCGGAAGGCTGAGGCAGGAAAGTCGCTTGAACCCAGGAGGCGAGGCTGTGGTGAGCTGAGATTGCGCCACTGCACTCCAGCCTGGGCGACAGAGTGTCTCAAAAAAAAAAAAAAGAAAGAAAGAAAGAAAGAAAGAAATGGGACCATCCTGAGAAGCCACAGCCACGTGGTGATGCCCTAGAAAACAAACCACCAGGTTGGGGGTTGGGAGTTGGGGGTGAAGAGCTAAGGAATCCCATGATACCAGACAAGTGAGTGAAGAAACCATTTATAAATGGATCCTCTAACTGAAACAATCCTGATAGTGCCACATAAGAGACAAATCACCCAGGCAAACTCTTCCCAAATTCCTAAGGCACAAAACTGCAAGCAAAATAAAATGATTGTTTTAAGCTTCTAAATTTTGATGTAGTTTGTTACATAACAATAAATAACTAAAACATCATCTGTAACAATGAGCTTGTCATTTTTTTTTTTTTAACTAAAAATGCCCCTATGCCCTCCCAAATGTTGGAGATAAGTTCCTCAGATACATTAGTTCTAATTACCAGGACAAGGGAACCATGCCAATTAAGAGTTTCACTTGTCACCTTTTGATATGTCCACTGGAGAACAAACTAGCCTTAACACAGTGCTTAGTGTAATCCTCTCACCAAAGCAACACTCATGTCTGACTTACATAAAAGATTAGCAACTGCTGAATCTCCCTGCACCAGTCCATGATGATGACATAGTTTTCTTATATTTGGTCAAGTAAATTTTCAAAGTCTACTGACTTACCTAATCAGTAAAACACACTGTACCATACGAATAAAAAATAAAAATTCTATTTCTAAAGGGTCTTCTTTTTCCAATCTGTTCATAAATTAAGGGAACCATTAAAATAGCTTTGTAAAACCTACTAATGGAAAAAATCTTTGGTGGACTGTGTAGCAATAAAAAATAATTAAATATATCCAAAACAAAAATAGTTCCTTAAAGAAATGAGTAGTATTAGAGAGATGGCAGATTCTAGGTCTAGGGAAAGAAAGCCATTGAAAGACTATTAGGATCCTGTCAAAAGAACTCAGAAGACAATGTGAAGTGTGTCCCCTTAGTCAAATAAGACAATTTAAACATCTATAAGGATAACTATCATGGACTGAAACACAAAAATTTGTTCAAATCTTTCTTAATTATACTAAAAAACAAATCTAATTGATCACTTTTGGAGAATGGCAAGAAACCAATTCATTGTTTTGAAAACTGGTAAATTAAAAAAGAGAAGCAAGTATTTATCTTGTTTTCCTAATTAAATTGTACCTCAAGATAATCAAATAATTGATGATAAAAAAATTTGTCCTTATAGATACACTTCAGCTAAGAAATGAATTATGGAATATCACTAATTTGCAATCCCTAAATAATAGACCTAGGCAATGATCATCAATAGTGTTACCACCACAAAAAAGATAGACAGATGGACAGTAAGATATTATATGCCTCCTAGTGAAGGCTCACAATAACATTTATGAAAAAAAGATGTCCCCATCTCAAAACAAACCTAAAGTCAGATCTAATCCAGCCTGTAGATATAACTACCAATTTACATGAAATACACAAGACAGAGAAACGTGTTAACATCAAATGGAAGCAGATAGCAAAATCCAAACCATGGGAAATTCTACAGACAAATCACCTAATTTCTTCAGTAAATAAATAAGGGGAAAAAAAGAACAATAAAGAGGAAGGAACCTAGAAATGAAAAGAAACGTAAGTGATGACAACTAATTACAATATCCAGATTTTATTTGGATCTTGATTCAGACTGTTCAAAATACTTCACAATCAGGAGAATGTGAAAACTAAAACTATATTTGGTGATATTAAGAAATGATTACCTGTTTTTAGTACTACTACAGTATTTTATAACAGTAGAAAGTAGCTGAAAATACCACATGCTAACAGACAAAATGATACACAACCTTGGGGGAGAAGTCAGCAGGAAAGAAATGATTATTTTTAAGGTATGATAATGGTATTACGATTATGTTTTTAAAAGTAAGTCCTTATTTGTTAGAGATACATACTGAAGTATACACAGAAGAAATGCTAAGGTTAAATATCACTTCAAAATATTCTGGGAGAGAGATGAAACAAGATTAATCATACATTGATGACTATTTAACTTGGGTCATGAGTACATGGAGGTTCATTATATAAGTCTCTATTTTCTATGTATACTTACAATTTTCCGTAATAAAAAAAAAAAGAGCAGCTCATTGGACTTGCTTTTTTTTTTTTTTTGAGATGGAGTGTCGCTCTGTCGCCCAGGCTGGAGTGCAGTGGCGCAATCTCAGCTCACTGCAAGCTCCGCCTCCTGGGTTTACACCATTCTCCTGCCTCAGCCTCCCGAGTAGCAGGGACTAGAGGCACCCGCACCACGCCTGGCTAACTGTTTGTATTTTTTTTTAGTAGAGACGGGGTTTCACCGTGTTAGCCAGGATGGCCTCGATCTCCTGACCTCGTGATCGGCCCGCCTCGGCCTCCCTAAGTGCTGGGATTACAGGCGTGAGCCACCGCGCCCGGCCAGCTCATTGTAATTTCAAACACTGTATTTTTTTCATTTGTTCGAAAATTTAGTACTATATGAAGCAAGAGTAAGAATTAGGGTATACACAGAGCTTAATCATAGAAAAATAACTAAATAACTGCTTTAGGCATATAAGTAATGTATATAATATTTCCTAATGAAATGCTATTTTTATCAGGATACCAAAAATTACCCCGATATGTATACACACACACACACACACACACACACACTCTGAGATGTACACTCACCACTTTCCATCTTTCTTTCACTAGAATTCCAACACTCAGGATATCCGGCTGCTCTCCTCCCCCGCTCATTGCAATACACTGATTATGGTAGAACAGTTACACAGGCATCCAGTTCTCAAGGGTGGTTTCCATTTAACCTAAAACAACAATAACAAAAAATAGTAGCAGTATATTAGGGTTAACTAATCAACACAAATAACATTCCAACATCAGTAAGCACTACTAATACCATACATTAGTTTGGCTACTCTGTTGGGAAGAAGGGGAAAAAGACCCAGAAATGTTTAATGCATATTTTTTAAAACCACATATCTTTCCATCACAGATGCCCAGTGAAATAGCTAGGTGTTAAAAAGACACTGTTTTTTTTTTTTTTTTTTTGAGACGGAGTCGTCGCTCTGTTGCCCAGGCTGGAGTGCCGTGGCCGGATCTCAGCTCACTGCAAGCTCTGCCTCCCGGGTTTACAACATTCTCCTGCCTCAGCCTCCCGAGTAGCTGGGACTACAGGCGCCCGCCACCTCGCCCGGCTAGTTTTTTGTATTTTTTAGTAGAGACGGGGTTTCACCGTGTTAGCCAGGATGGTCTCGATCTCTTGTCCTCGTGATCCGCCCGTCTCGGCCTCCCAAAGTGCTGGGATTACAGGCTTGAGCCACCGCGCCCGGCAAAAAGACACTGTTAAAACACAGGTATTATTTATAATAACTGAGATTGTTAGACTATAGGGCAAGCATGATGTCATGGCACTTGAACTAGGTAGATGACTATCTTGAGTACAATATACTGCTGAAAAGACACAGTACCTAATTTACAACTGCTTATAGTTTGTAACTTAGAGCTTAATAACATTATAGCTAATATTTTAATGTTACAAAATGCACTTAAAATGCATAGGAAATAAATACTAACAAAGAAAAGGGTTGTTGACCAAACCTGATACAACGACATTCCAAGAAAAAGAGGATATTAATAAGATGAACAGCATACCTGTAGAAAATGAAGATATAGCAGAAAAATACAGCCTAAAGGAAATGAAAACTGTAACCTAGCCCAGGAATGAAAACGATATTGATACAGAGTGACTTTCAAGATACATTGTTTAGTGAAAAAAGGCAAGACAGTAAAGGGTTTATAGCATGCTATACTTTGCAGAAAAAGGAGATAAATGTTGAGTATATTTAAGTATCTGCTTTTGTTTTTTAAAAAGAAAGGAAAAGAAGGAGAGATAAGCTAAAACTTAATGAAAATGATTCTTTGTAGCAGAAGTCAGCAAATTTTTTCAAAACAGGTCTGGAAAGTAAATATTTTAGTCTCTAGGCCACATATTGTATTCTCTGTTATAGTTACTCGATTCTGCCACTGTAGCACAAAAGCCATACACAATTATGTAAACGAATGAGTATGGCTGTGCTCCAACAAAATCTTATTTACCAAAAAAAAAAAAATGTGGGCCAAATTTGGCATGCAGACTGTTTCAACCTTTACTCAATAGAAAGCAAAACAAAAGGCCAGGTGTGGTAGCTCACACCTGTAATCTCAGCATCTTGGGAGGCTGAGGCAAGAGGGATGCTTGAGCCCTGGAGTTTGAGACCAGCCTGGGCAACACAGGGAGATCCCATCTCTACAACAAATTTGAAAATTAGCCAGACATGCTTGCACGTACTCGTAGTCCCAGCTACTCAGGAGTCTGAGCAGGGAGGATCACTTGAGCTTGGAAGGCTGAGGTTGCAGTGAGCCGTGAAGGTGCCACTGCCCTCCAGCCTGGGTGACAGAATAAGATCCTGTATCAAAAAAAAAAAAGAAAGAAAGAAAGAAAAAAAGGATGGAAGCGATAAGGAAGAAAGCCAGACTTCCGTCAATGCATCTTGTGATATAGTTTTGATTCTGGAACCATGTAAATGTTTTACGTATGATAAAAAAAAAAAGTTCTAAACTCCAAATTCCAGAAAGGACCATAACAACAAGTAATCACCAGAATTGGTGTTAAACCCATCCTACGCCCATCAAAGGAAGCTCTGAATGAGTGATATCACTTCACCAAGTCACCAGTCAGCAACACCACAATTCATAACCACATTTACATAATAAAAGGTCAATCAATTCCTAAATACTCCTACTTCACCAATCCCTGAACTCCATAATTCCTCAAATCCTATTTAAGACCAGCAGTTTCTTTTCTTTTCTTTTCTCTTTTAAAACAAAGTCTTGCTCTGTCACCCAGGTTGGAGTGCAGTCATGCAATCACAGCTCATTATATCCTTGAACTCCTGGGCTCAAGCAATCTTCCCATCTCAGCCTCCCAAGGAGCTGGGACTATAGGAGTGCACTACCATACCTGGATAACATTGTTTGTTTGTTTATTTTTAATAGACAGGGTCTCACTATGTTGTCCAGGCTGGTCTCAGACTCATGGCCTCCAGTGATCCTCCTACCTCAGCCTCCCAAAATGGTGGGATCATAAACATGAACCACTGCACCTGGTTGGGCAGTTTGTTTCATTCAGAGAAATTATGTCCTACAATTATGGCTCTCCCTTGTATATCGCACAATAAATTTAGCATTTTGTTCAGAAAACGAATGATGGCATGTTCAAAACAAAAGACAAAAATTTTAAAAAACACTAAAAATAAAAGACAATTCAAAACAAACTGAAACCAATAATCTACTGCAATCTGTTCCCCAAAAACCTATGGAACTAAAAGAATTTTAAAACAATAACCCATTGCATCCATTGCATACTGAGTTTGTGCCATAGTCACACAGAAAATAATTACTTCAGCTGGGCATGGTGGCTCACACCTGTAATCCCAACACTTTGGGAGGCCGAGACAGGTGGATCTCTTGAGGTCAGGAGTTCGAGACCAACCTGGGCAACATGGAAAGACCCTGTCTCTACTAAAAATGCAAAAATTAGGCCAGGCGTGGTGGTGGGCGCCTGTAGCCCCAGCTACGCAGGAGTCTGAGGCAGGAGAATGGCTTGAATCCGGGAGGCAAAGGTTGCAGTGAGCCGAGATTGTGCCACTGCATTCCAGCCTGGGTGACAAAACAAGACTCTGTCTCAAAAAAAAAAAAAATCAACATTCTCCACAGATTTTAAATTAGACTCAAATTTCAAAACAAAACAAAACAAAAAAATATTTTACTGTTGGGCACATAATCCAAAATTACCAAGCACACAAAGAACCAAGAATATCTCAATTTATATATGAAAGTGCAATCAATAGATACAAATGCCAAGATGACACAGATTTAGGATTTGTCAGGCAAAAATGCTCCAAGAAATAAAGGTGAATACCCTAGAAATGAATAAAAAGATATAAAGTCTCAGTAAAGAAATAAGAGACATAAAGAAAGAAATTAAAAATTTAAGCCAGGCATGGTGGCTCACGCCTGTAATACTAGCACTTTGGGAGGCTGAGGCAGGCAGATCACAAGGTCAAGAGTTCGAGACCAGCCTGGCCAACGTGGTGAAACCCCATCTCTACTAAAAATACAAAAATTAGGCAGGTGCAGTGGCTCAAGCCTGTAATCCCAGCACTTTGGGAGGCCGAGACGGGTGGATCACGAGGTCAGGAGATCGAGACCATCCTGGCTAACACGGTGAAACCCCGTCTCTACTAAAAAAATACAAAAAACTAGCCGGGCGAGGTGGCGGGCGCCTGTAGTCCCAGCTACTCGGGAGGCTGGGGCAGGAGAATGGCGGGAACCCGGGAGGCGGAGCTTGCAGTGAGCTGAGATCCGGCCACTGCACTCTAGCCCGGGGGACAGAGCGAGACTCCGTCTCAAAAAAAAAAAAAAAATTAGCTGGGTGTGGTAGTAGGTGCCTGTAATCCCAGCTACTCACGAAGCTGAAGCAGGAAAATCGCTTGAATCCAGGAGGTGGAGGTTGCAATGAGCTGAGATGGTGCCACTATACTCCAGCCTGGGCGACAGAGATGCCATCTCAAAAAATAAAAAAATAAAAAATATAAATAAATAAATAATTTAGAAGTGAAAAATACAGTAACTGAAATTTTAAAATTTCACTGGATGGGGTCAATAGAAAAATGGCAGTGTCAGAGTAAAGAGTCAGTAAACTGGAAGACAGATCTATAGAAATTACACAGTCTGAAGATAAAAGATTCTTATAAATGAATATAGACCTCAGGGACTAGTGGGACAATACTAAAAATTCTAATATTTGTGTCATTAGAGTCATAAAAGAAGAGGTAACAGTTTAGGATAGAAAAAATATTAAAAATGGCTAAAACTTCACAAATTTTGTGAAGGACACAAAACAACAGATTGATGAAGCTGACTGAATACAATAGGCGCGCACACACACACACACAAAACTCTTAAACATATCATAATCAAACTGCTGAAAATTAAACAGAAAAAAAAAATTAAAAATAACTAGAAAACAGCCAGGCACCGTGGCTCACACCTGTAATCCCAGCACTTCGTAAGGCCGAGGCAGGCGGAACACCTGAGGTCGGGAGCTCGAGACCAGCCTGACCAACACGGAGAAACCCTGTCTCTACTAAAAATACAAAATTAGCCGGGTGTGGTGACACATGCCTGTAATCCCAGCTACTCGAGAGGCTGAGGCAGGAGAATCGCTTGAACCCGGAAGGCTGAGGTTGTGGTGAGCCGCGATCGCGCCATTGCACTCCAGCCTGGGCAACAAGAGCAAACCTCCGTCTCAAAAAAAAAAAAAAGTAGAATGGTAAAGGGACTCATGATGGTGGTTAGGTTTCTGCATTATTTCAGGTAATGTAATATTCGTATTATATAATATTTATATAACATAGTTAATATTTAATGTAAGAATTCTAAGTAGATGGTAAAAAGGAGATATATTATAAGTCCTAGAGCAATCGCTTTAAAAACTACACAAAGAGATACCAGGAAAAGCAAAAAAAAAAGTGGAATACCAAAACATGTTAAGATAATCCAAAAGTAGGCAGAAAGAAACAGAAGAACAAAAATAAAGCGACAAACATAAAACAAACAATACAATGGTTGACCTGAATCCAAACTTACCTGTAATTACCGTAAGTATAAATGGCATAAACATGCCACTGAAAAGACAGAGATTAGCAGGATAAATATGATTCTATAAGAAACTCACTTCAAAAATAATATGTAGGTTAAAGTG